GGTTGGTGGCAGCATACGGCCTCACGGTCTTCCAGCTACGCATTTTGGAAGTTTCAGATAGAAATACAGAAAAAAATTAACAAAAAAAGGGGTGCAACACGAGGACTTCCCGGGAGGTCACCCATCCTAGTACTACTCTCGCCCAAGCACGCTTACTGCGGAGTTCTGATGGGATCCGGTGCATTAGTGCTGGTATGATCGCACCCATTTGTTTATGACGCGCAAACGCATATATGCCTTTCCGAGAGGATCTTGAACGTTTATTCGGCGGCGTAGGCCCCACTTGATGCTTAGGCCCGATCCGGAGTCCTAAGTGACCCTTATGTGAGAGGGAGGATGGATGCATCCAAAAAACACTATGCATAGCACTTTCGATTCATTGATTTTGTGTCCGCACCAGAAAACGGCCCGGAAAAGCGTCCAAACGCCATTTTTTGGGGTCCAAACGATATTTTACGCCTAGAGCTCTTTTGGAGCTTCACGAAAAGTGGTTGGTGGCAGCATACGGCCTCACGGTCTTCCAGCTACGCATTTTGGAAGTTTCAGATAGAAATACAGAAAAAAATTAACAAAAAAAGGGGTGCAACACGAGGACTTCCCGGGAGGTCACCCATCCTAGTACTACTCTCGCCCAAGCACGCTTACTGCGGAGTTCTGATGGGATCCGGTGCATTAGTGCTGGTATGATCGCACCCATTTGTTTATGACGCGCAAACGCATATATGCCTTTCCGAGAGGATCTTGAACGTTTATTCGGCGGCGTAGGCCCCACTTGATGCTTAGGCCCGATCCGGAGTCCTAAGTGACCCTTATGTGAGAGGGAGGATGGATGCATCCAAAAAACACTATGCATAGCACTTTCGATTCATTGATTTTGTGTCCGCACCAGAAAACGGCCCGGAAAAGCGTCCAAACGCCATTTTTTGGGGTCCAAACGATATTTTACGCCTAGAGCTCTTTTGGAGCTTCACGAAAAGTGGTTGGTGGCAGCATACGGCCTCACGGTCTTCCAGCTACGCATTTTGGAAGTTTCAGATAGAAATACAGAAAAAAATTAACAAAAAAAGGGGTGCAACACGAGGACTTCCCGGGAGGTCACCCATCCTAGTACTACTCTCGCCCAAGCACGCTTAACTGCGGAGTTCTGATGGGATCCGGTGCATTAGTGCTGGTATGATCGCACCCGTTTGTTTATGACGCGCAAACGCATATATGCCTTTCCGAGAGGATCTTGAACGTTTATTCGGCGGCGTAGGCCCCACTTGATGCTTAGGCCCGATCCGGAGTCCTAAGTGACCCTTATGTGAGAGGGAGGATGGATGCATCCAAAAAACACTATGCATAGCACTTTCGATTCATTGATTTTGTGTCCGCACCAGAAAACGGCCCGGAAAAGCGTCCAAACGCCATTTTTTGGGGTCCAAACGATATTTTACGCCTAGAGCTCTTTTGGAGCTTCACGAAAAGTGGTTGGTGGCAGCATACGGCCTCACGGTCTTCCAGCTACGCATTTTGGAAGTTTCAGATAGAAATACAGAAAAAAATTAACAAAAAAAGGGGTGCAACACGAGGACTTCCCGGGAGGTCACCCATCCTAGTACTACTCTCGCCCAAGCACGCTTAACTGCGGAGTTCTGATGGGATCCGGTGCATTAGTGCTGGTATGATCGCACCCGTTTGTTTATGACGCGCAAACGCATATATGCCTTTCCGAGAGGATCTTGAACGTTTATTCGGCGGCGTAGGCCCCACTTGATGCTTAGGCCCGATCCGGAGTCCTAAGTGACCCTTATGTGAGAGGGAGGATGGATGCATCCAAAAAACACTATGCATAGCACTTTCGATTCATTGATTTTGTGTCCGCACCAGAAAACGGCCCGGAAAAGCGTCCAAACGCCATTTTTTGGGGTCCAAACGATATTTTACGCCTAGAGCTCTTTTGGAGCTTCACGAAAAGTGGTTGGTGGCAGCATACGGCCTCACGGTCTTCCAGCTACGCATTTTGGAAGTTTCAGATAGAAATACAGAAAAAAATTAACAAAAAAAGGGGTGCAACACGAGGACTTCCCGGGAGGTCACCCATCCTAGTACTACTCTCGCCCAAGCACGCTTAACTGCGGAGTTCTGATGGGATCCGGTGCATTAGTGCTGGTATGATCGCACCCGTTTGTTTATGACGCGCAAACGCATATATGCCTTTCCGAGAGGATCTTGAACGTTTATTCGGCGGCGTAGGCCCCACTTGATGCTTAGGCCCGATCCGGAGTCCTAAGTGACCCTTATGTGAGAGGGAGGATGGATGCATCCAAAAAACACTATGCATAGCACTTTCGATTCATTGATATTGTGTCCGCACCAGAAAACGGCCCGGAAAAGCGTCCAAACGCCATTTTTTGGGGTCCAAACGATATTTTACGCCTAGAGCTCTTTTGGAGCTTCACGAAAAGTGGTTGGTGGCAGCATACGGCCTCACGGTCTTCCAGCTACGCATTTTGGAAGTTTCAGATAGAAATACAGAAAAAAATTAACAAAAAAAGGGGTGCAACACGAGGACTTCCCGGGAGGTCACCCATCCTAGTACTACTCTCGCCCAAGCACGCTTAACTGCGGAGTTCTGATGGGATCCGGTGCATTAGTGCTGGTATGATCGCACCCAGTTTGTTTATGACGCGCAAACGCATATATGCCTTTCCGAGAGGATCTTGAACGTTTATTCGGCGGCGTAGGCCCCACTTGATGCTTAGGCCCGATCCGGAGTCCTAAGTGACCCTTATGTGAGAGGGAGGATGGATGCATCCAAAAAACACTATGCATAGCACTTTCGATTCATTGATTTTGTGTCCGCACCAGAAAACGGCCCGGAAAAGCGTCCAAACGCCATTTTTTGGGGTCCAAACGATATTTTACGCCTAGAGCTCTTTTGGAGCTTCACGAAAAGTGGTTGGTGGCAGCATACGGCCTCACGGTCTTCCAGCTACGCATTTTGGAAGTTTCAGATAGAAATACAGAAAAAAATTAACAAAAAAAGGGGTGCAACACGAGGACTTCCCGGGAGGTCACCCATCCTAGTACTACTCTCGCCCAAGCACGCTTAACTGCGGAGTTCTGATGGGATCCGGTGCATTAGTGCTGGTATGATCGCACCCGTTTGTTTATGACGCGCAAACGCATATATGCCTTTCCGAGAGGATCTTGAACGTTTATTCGGCGGCGTAGGCCCCACTTGATGCTTAGGCCCGATCCGGAGTCCTAAGTGACCCTTATGTGAGAGGGAGGATGGATGCATCCAAAAAACACTATGCATAGCACTTTCGATTCATTGATTTTGTGTCCGCACCAGAAAACGGCCCGGAAAAGCGTCCAAACGCCATTTTTTGGGGTCCAAACGATATTTTACGCCTAGAGCTCTTTTGGAGCTTCACGAAAAGTGGTTGGTGGCAGCATACGGCCTCACGGTCTTCCAGCTACGCATTTTGGAAGTTTCAGATAGAAATACAGAAAAAAATTAACAAAAAAAGGGGTGCAACACGAGGACTTCCAGAGGTCACCCATCCTAGTACTACTCTCGCCCAAGCACGCTTCACTGCGGAGTTCTGATGGGATCCGGTGCATTAGTGCTGGTATGATCGCACCATTTTGTTTATGACGCGCAAACGCATATATGCCTTTCCGAGAGGATCTTGAACGTTTATTCGGCGGCGTAGCCCCACTTGATGCTTAGGCCCGATCCGGAGTCCTAAGTGACCCTTATGTGAGAGGGAGGATGGATGCATCCAAAAAACACTATGCATAGCACTGTCGATTCATTGATTTTGTGTCCGCACCAGAAAACGGCCCGGAAAAGCGTCCAAACGCCATTTTTTGGGGTCCAAACGATATTTTACGCCTAGAGCTCTTTTGGAGCTTCACGAAAAGTTGTTGGTGGCAGCATACGGCCTCACGGTCTTCCAGCTACGCATTTTAGAAGTTTCAGTATTAATAGGATTTTTTTATTTGAATTTAATAGGTATTTGGATAATATAAATTTGATGAATGAGAAATCTTTTTCTGTTAGGAATATGAGAAATCTTTTACTATAATGGAATTTTTTTTACCCCTTTCTAACTTAAAAAAAAAAATATTTAAGGACACATGTCACGATCTTAACAGCCATAAAACTATAAGTGACATATGTTGCAATCCAGCAAATTATAAAAATTCTAGGTGTCGTAACCACGTTGTGCACATTCATTTTTATATAATAAGATAGAGTTTTTACTGTATATGAAAAAAACATTGGACATTCGGGAAATCTCTAAAGGTTCATGGGTTAAATTATTTTACTTTTCTATATAGAGAAAATCGATATAATGTATTTATCAAAGCCACTACAAGAAAAGTTAGTATTGTATACTTCAAACTATATGATAGCTATGTACTATGTAAACTCTGGTCCATTGGTTTGAATTAATCATAGGCTGTTGACCAAGAGAAAATATCATTACTTTTGAAAAATTGTAAATAATTAAATATGTTGAATTTCAAATCGTCAGATATAAATCGTGATAATTCCTTTTTGAGTGGGGGTGTTTCAGTATATAATGTTGGAAATTCCAAAGCTTGAAGAAGAAGCTTGATGAGAAAATGGAAATAAGCTATTTCTATGAAAAGTAAGAGTCATATATGAAATAGGAAGCCTATGTAAAATATGAGTCATATGAAAAAGGAATCATATTAGAAATAGAAGTTATACTTTTCTTGTCATAGTTCCTAATAGAAATAGGAGAAGCTATTTTCTATATAAAAGGTCTATGGAGAGATGTTCCATAAGATTCAAGACAAAAAGGTTTAGTTTTGAGAGAGTTTCTAAATCAATAAAGATGAGTTGTTCTTTATACTCTTGAAGCTATTCAGCTTGTTCAATTTCATTTAATAGGTCGTTTTTCTCCAAAAACCTAGTCGTATTTAGTTAACCCTAAATTCATTCTTCTCCAGAGCATCTACTGCAAGCTTGCCGTATCATGATCTCCGGAGAAACACAGCTACCATCATCGTTTTCTTCACTTCCTGACAAAATCACAGAGCACATTCTTGCACGTGTCTCGAGATGTAACTATCCATCGCTCTCTCTTGTCTCAAAGAGATTCCGGTCTCTCCTTTCTTCTATGCAAATCTATACGACCCGATCTCAAATCGGAGCCCAGGAAACATGTTTCTATGTCTGCTTAAAGTTGCGGAATCAACCATATCCGAGCTGGTTTAGTCTTTGGGCGAAACCTAATCAAACCCTAACCAAACAAGAAGAGACAACGACTGGGTTTAACAAGGATCCAAGTGGAAATTCGGTTGTTCCGACACCTTTCCGTTCTCCTCACATAACAAGTCAGGCCACCATAGACATTGATTCGGAAATCTTCATAATCGGTGGACCCTACAAGAAACCCTCTTCCTCTGTTCGGATCCTTGACTGTCGCAGTCATACTTGGCGTGACGCTCCTAGCATGACCGTGGCTCGGGAAGATGCGTGTGCGATCTTCTGCGATGATAAAATATATGTGATGGGAGGCTGCGATATTGACGAGGACTTTGCCAATTGGATGGAGGTGTTTGACATGAAGACTCAGTCTTGGACAGCCCTTCCTGGTCCTGGCGCTGATGAAGACGTGTTACGCAGTCGTTTACGTGAATATGATGACTACGATGTAGTCGATGTGCTTGATGGAAAGCTTTACATAGTTGTAGATGAAAAGGAGTACGCCTACCAAATATGGTAGATGGAAATTTGTAAGACAAGATTCGAGTTTCCGATTCGACTCCTTAGCGGTTTGGTGTACCATGAACATAGATAATATAATATACGGTTGCACTTGGGATGGAGTTTTAATGTGGTCTGAGTCTAAATCTGACACTAAGACTGAGGTTAGAGAATGGAGAGAGATTCAAGGTTTGGGAGAACTGCGTGAGAAGGGTTTAAGAACTGGGAGTGACTTTTACATGGAGTACTACAATGGTGGGAAACTCTTAGTTTTGTGGAAATTGTCTGGTAAAGAGCAGGAAAACAAGATTCAGTATGCGAGGATTTCTTTAGAATCAAGATCCAGTGGACGTGAGATTTGGGGTCAGGTTGAGTGTCTCGATGAGCATACATTTCCGGTCCAGTCATATAAATCATTTCGGTGTGTAACAGTATCGGTTTGATGATTCTCAGTCGTTTCTTTTTCTTTGAACATGCTAAATATATGTTCGTTGTGAAAAGTTTTGTTTTATTTTTTCTATTACTTCTTTTTTTTTTCCACTATTTGACGATGCTTTTATATAATACATTTTGGCTATGTGTTTTATTAAATTCAAAATCCAGAAGATTAAAAAAGGAAATAAAAAGCAATTTGAAACAATAAGAATTATATGGCCTATCAATAGGGAAGATGTGTCATATGTTTGACCCTTACTTTCTGTTGTCCTTTTGGCAAAGAAAGGAGAAGACGAGGTTACTTTATTTGATAATTTACTCTCAACCTTTCCTTATACAATTCTGTGTAACCGATGAAATCTGAGTGATTTACACTATGGGTGACTTTTGAGTTTCAACTTACATAAAGAGTGACTTTTTCTCAGAGGTGCACTTTGCTTTGGACTGTAGCTGTTGGAGATAACCAATTTATCCTTAATGAAAATGGGGTGAAAATGAAATTTCATTGGTCCGTATTTTATCTGTCTCCGATGACTGCATGCTATTCGCCGACGGGATATGTAAGAAAAACTGATATGTCGAAAGTGGAGGATCTGGGATAAAAGTGTAACGCATTAACTTGACTCATGTGAAGACAATTTTATATTTAGGAAAAGCTGGACAAGTTTGGTTCTTTCATTTGGGAGAGATGACATGGATCTGAAACCTCCGCTTGGACAATTTGATATTTGTGTACGGTTACGTGTTGGACGGTTTCATATAGCAAATCCACAATATATGTTTGGACAAATATAATTGTACAATTGGATGTTTTCACATAACCCAATGGAAAAACTAAAAATGCATGAATACTAAAACAAATGTTTGGTGTGAACAGATATTACAAACGCAATAGTATAATTCATGTGTTAAAACCATAACAATTTGTACAACAGACATGTGCACTTTGACACTAAGTACATCTCAGTTTTATAAAAGCAGTGTAGGCCAGTGATATTTTCACAAAACGCCGTCCACGTTTTGTATTTTTTTTTTGGACATGATCTGTTTGTCCATGTTTAATTCCCATCCAATCTTCGAAATTGTATGATTTAGGGGAAAAGTGTATCTCTTCTTGGCTGAATTGTTTTGGACGAAATTTGATTTGGATGCTACAATATGTGGATAGATTTTGTAATCATTTGAACATTTGGTTCAATTTCATAAAATGTTGATTTTGTAAGTCGTGATTTTATAAAGTATTGTTTCATATGGCGAATATAGAGGAACCAGAACAGAAAACTCATTTGTAAGAACAAACATCTTCACCAATGATGTCTTAAGAACATCAGATGGATCCTCTATAATGGTGGATTTCCAGGATTGAAGAACACTGTAAGCTGCATTTGTCTGTTGCTTTGGAGCTGAATTAGAATCAGAATTAGTTTCCGTCGCAGCCGTCGCCGACTCCGACTCCGACGCCTGCTGTCGCCGATTCCGACGCTGACGCCGCCGTCGCAGCGAGTGTAATTGGTGATTTACGAGTGACGTACCTTCCATGGTGAAGAGAAAATCGAGATCGAGATCTGAATTAAAAACAGCAACGAAAGTAGCTTTTTCTAAGACTGGAAGCGAGAATGAACAACGAAATCAGCTTGTTTGTCACGGCGGGAGAAAAGGTAAATGGAAGTGGAAGTGAGAAAACGCAACGACGCTTCGGGGGCGGAAAATAGGTCACCGGCGAAAGAATATCCCACCGGCGTTTCTGTGTTTGACGGGAAAGAGGTGAATGTAATATTTGTTGGTTAAATGTGAAAAATAGGGAATTACAGAGGTAAGTGAAAACAAGGAGTACATTGTAATTACACTTTGTGAAAGTCAATCAAAGTGTAAACTATATAACTCAAAAAGTCTTTCTCGATGAAATATTCATAAACATAGGCTGTATACTACGCTCTCTCACACTTGCCATCTTGATTTTCTAGATTTTTTTTTTTCTGAAAAAACACACTAAAAACAACATACTGTATAATTAGAGTTCAAGTTGATGGCCAAGATAGAGCAAGGAAATGCAACAATTTCGGCCTTTATCAGTTTGAAAGGAGAGCTTCAAATTGAAATGGCTGACTCATTTCATGGGTTTGAAAGGAGAGCTTGAAATGTTTATCAGTTTGTACACCAAAAGCTGTTACACTTGCGATAAGTAGTAGCTTGTCACAACTTGTATGACCAAGAAAGTGATATACATCTTCATTTTATCGAGTTTTTAAAAATCAACATCACTAGATATTTTTTGGCATCATCAAACAACATGAAAGTTTCAGTGAGTATATGAAACTAATCCAAATTTATACGAACAAATCCACAGTCATTTCTCTAACTTTATAAAGAATATATGTTTTTCATCAACTCTTATTTATTGTACAAAAAAAATATTTTACACCTACATTTATCAGGCTAAAGATCATCTTTCGAATTATTTCGATCAGATCATTACCATTTAGCAAATATAAAACAATTCAGGAGCAAGCCTCATTGTTCTTCCTTAGGTATGCATGTGCACCTCTTCTGTTCTTCTGTCAACTCCTAAAATTACCCCAACCAAAATAACACAAACTAAAAAAATGGATATTCAAACATATGAATTCAAACTAATCCATTGGCTATATTCAAATATTTACCTGGATCTGCCTTTGAAGAACCTTCACGTATTCTACAGCTTCTTCTAACATGTCTGCAGTGTTTGTTTGCTGCAACAAAGAAAAGACGTAGTTAACCCAAAATTTTCCTCATAGCCTATATTCAAGAACTTTATTTCCGCTATATATTCAAGACCAGAACTAGAAAATGTCCATTATTCTCTTCATGATCTATAGAGTGGAAACCAATTCATACTTCGCACACTGTGTAAAATCTTAGGTTTAGGGATTGCTTGCTTACGGTTTCATTATATTATACCACAGTTTAGGAAATGCTTACTATAACAGAGCTGAGAACTGTGACTATGAAGTTGCTTCCCAACAATCAAAATTCCAACAGTCATACTTGATTGTATCTCTGAAAGCTAACCTATTAACCGCTAACTGCTACCTTGGTGCTTACGTTTAACATATACAATCTTTGACTTATTTGTAATCTTATATAATTGTATAAGAAGACATCCAAAATCATATGAATCTAGCTACGCTGTAAAGAACAGTACCTTATCCATGTTGGGGACAAGCTCTTGTAGCTTCCTTATACGATCGCTTATTCGCGTTCTTCGTACCTACAAAACGAAAGGTAGGAATAAACAAAACGTTTATTCGAATATATGTAAGGACGAGAACAGAACAATGCTCTGTTCACTTAAGCATACAGTAAATCATTGAACTTCCATGTACTGAAAGCAATGGTAAAATCTTCTTATTACTCAACTTCCATAATATAAAAGTAAAAACAGAAACTTCATCACTGAACTTCCTCAAACTGAAAGTAAAGAGATCAAATTTAATATACCCTCTCAGCAATGCTACGAGGATGAGTTGCACAACCACGTTTAGCACGAACCCTAAAAGCAACAGAGTCCTCCATGAGATTGTCCATGTTCATATCCACCATCCCTGATACCCCAGCAGGAACTTGACCGCTGCTTTGCTCTCCTTTCTACTTACAGAAACAAAGAGCCAATTTAACACTAAGCATGAAACCTTAATCAACATCACACAATGCATATGTTACACAATGGACATACTAGCTCAATCCCTACCTTCCATAATCCACACAATACTATATTGACAAACCATATGAGCATTCTTTTAATGTTCACATCACACACCAAAGCCACAAAGACAATAAAGGGAAATAAAAACCGCAACTTGCTGAGTTTGGTTCAGAAAAAACTGCAAGTTGTCCAATTTAAAGACAAGACTGGTCCTTTCACAATCTTTACATGTCTCTACTCTCAGCATTTTAACTACAATTTCAAACAACTTGACAAAAGCTAAAAAGAAGTCCAAAGTCAGTTATGTTCGTTTCCTTTTCTGGTAAAATAAAGAAAAAAAAGAATCATAATTTTGGTCGACCCAAATGATTATTCTTTACCATCTGAGAAGTAAACTCAGGAGAAGAGAAGAGCGCTTCCATTTCTCTAGACCGTTTACTCCCCGGAGAAACATCGATATTCGGCGATGATAAGTAGTCGTAATTCGCCGGAATCCCAAAGCTTTGGATGAATCCATCGGAACCACTGAGAAAATCCGCCGGAGTACTGTTCTGTCGGTGAAACCCACTTTGTTGGTTGTATAAACCCTGCTCAACCGGAATCGGAAACTCGAAAGAGCCACGAGTCGTCGGTAAATCGGCTGAGTTTCCGGTGAGTAAATCGGTGAGACCGAGATTAGTAGGTTTCAGAGACTCTTCTTCATCTTCTTCAAGTAAAGCTTCAAGCCAAGTCGCTGGAGCTGAACGGATCCGAGATAGTCCACTTCGACTCACCTGCCCTCCTCCGCCGCCGCCGCTTCCGCCGCTGCTACTACCGACGGATGTTGATTGCATCTGCGACTAGCTCACTCACTAAAATTCCCTTTGGCTTTTCTCTGGTTTCAATCGACACAAACTTTTTATTTTTATTTTTATATTTTTAATTAGTTCAACAGCAGACACCAGATTGTTCTTCGATTGTTTTGTTTTTTTATTTAAAAATAAAAACAATTTTGTTTGGCAATAAAATATTTGCGGCTACTAATCAACAAACAACCCTAACCGTTGGATTAAGAGACTTTCCTAACACTTGACTAAAGATTGGTACAGAACCAAAAAAAGTTAGAGATGCGTCAGCGCGTAACAGTGAAACATGGCTTTAACGTCATTGTTCGTTTCGTAAGAGATAATTACAACCAAAGGCACTTTTACACTTTCTAATTACACTCCAAAGCACTTACAATTACCAAGGGATTTTCTACAATAAAAGTAATAGCAAAAATCCAAATCTACCTTTACTTTAATTTTGCTTCCTCCCTCCGTTTATGTTTCAAGACTTTTTTTTACCATGTCAGCACTACAGTAACTTTGTGTTGTATTGCAGCCGACGAACTCGCCGGAGCAACCGAAGAACGATTGTGGATATGAGAGAGATTTCTCTTTATAACTGAAGGCAAGTACACAATGAGATTTCGTCGTCGAATTCTGTATCGATAATCGATTTGGAAGATTTCGTTGTCGAATTCGTCGAATTGGATCTGGAAAATTTTGAGTCTCGTCAAAGTTCGGAGAAGATGAATCTAGGTTGAGTCACGATCTTGTCCACATCTACATGTCCACGCAATCGTGTACACGTCGTGATGCGCCCATCTGGACGTCTTTGTTTAGATAATTATTTTTTTGGAGTTTGAATGAGATATATGTGTGGACATGTTTCCGACTTTCCGTGTACATGATTTTGTGAGCACAAAGATAATTAACAATTGAATGAATGTTTGTTGTTGAGCTTTTGTTTATCGTCTAGATTGTTTCATAGAACCGTATCCATATACTTGTGTCCATGCTTCGTATCCATATGGATATAACACCTATGTTTATATCAATCTGTAAACATGGTTCTTAAATTGATTTTCAAACTATCCAAAACTCAACATACAATTTTTACATAAGTAACCAATACCCACATGACGTCGTGGATATGAATTCGTGGACAAGATAACATATACATATTTAGCTCTCTCATTATCTTGGTCTTTCTAACGAATTTCTTAGGCCTCATATGAACATAAAACCATGGATACAATCAAGAACAACAAATCGTTGACATAATTTTCTTTCATCAACATATACGTTTGATTGAATGCACAAATGCATTATGTTTAACAACAGAGATCAAAAACAACAAATCCCCTTATATTATGTACTTTCAACTAACTCGTTTTTAAGAGCTTTTTTCACATCTTATATCTACAATGTTCTTGGATACAAACTATTGTTTGTGCATGTTTATTTATCTAACAATTAGTATTTGTTTGCTAGTTTGCTATCTTGGTTCCATCAACTAATTCCTTCATAAATGTATTTGTTTATGCTAGTTGTGTCCACGCAACGGCATCCATATGGATATTATTAATTTCAATCTCATCGAAGTTTGGAGAAGATGAGTCTGGGTTAACTCGCGATCATGTCCACAGCTACATGTCCACGCAGTCGTGTACACGTCGTGATGCGTCCACAAGTCACAATCCACAGATAAATGATGTATTGGTCACATCTGGATTCAACTTCGTGGACTGCTCAACATAGATACAGCTTAAACACGCCTATATTTTTACCCCTTCATAGAGGAATGCGCAATGTTCATGGCTAATACATAATAATGGCATTGATTGTTGTATATGAGTGAATGGATATTAGACATCCAAGATGACCTAAAAATGGATGCATATACATACACAACAACTGGACATAGCCATATGGACAGATCCATTTGGATATAGAAAACAATTAACTAATCTTAATGCAACAGGCCTATGAGATCCATTAAAACTATTAAGATCACGAAAAGATCCATGACTTCATATCCACACAGTCATGTACACGCATACATCTCAATCAAGATACAAAAATTTAAACATTTTATCTTTAACTATTGCACTAGCATAAGAGATCATTTACTCCAAGTAATTGTTTCTTATGAACAAATTGTTTATATTCCAAACAGTTAAAACTGTAAACAAAAGTGAAAATGAGGGGTGCCTCACCCAAAAGTCAAAACATTAATGTATTGACAGGTTGAGGTTAAAGTAGACATGAAGTTGAGAAATGGTGTAAAACGCCAAAGCTAAAACTAGTAACACAATAACTTTTAAATACAATAGTATAGTCATGAAAAAATCTTGATTAATCTGGATTTTTGAATACAATAAATCGTATATGTTGATGAAAGAAGATTTAGTCCAACGATATTACCCTTAGGCAAGTGGAGTTCACCGTCCATGGACTGCTGTCCATCCGAGTCACGGTTCCCATCCACATCAATCGGTACACCAATGACCATGTTCGTGTCACAGCTACCAGATACGACACTACCTACCGCCGACATTGCATCTTGTACGCCTCCCATGCAATGATCGTATGGACATTGATCGTATAAGACTCTCGAAACTTGCTAAACATGAATTGGTGAGGTTTGAGTCATGTCATATCCATTCATATTCCAAAATAATTATCCAAACAAAGACGTCCAGATGGGCGCTTCACTACGTGTACACGACTGCATGGACATGTAGTTGTGGACATGATCGCGAGTTAACCCAGATTTATCTTCTTCAAATTTTAACGAAACTGCAAGTTTTCCAGATCCAATAGCTTTTCTTCTAACAACATCATAAAATTTTCCAGATCGCGAATTAACCCAGATTCATCTAATAACAACATAATTTTTTTCAGATCCATCAACTCTTCTTCTTAGCTTCGCAACGGTCTTCTTCCTCCGACATAGGACAAAAGTAGTTTTCTTAAAGACAAATCTCCCAGATCCAACATCTGTTCTTCTTAACCTTTGTATTGTTTTCTTCCTCCGACGAAGAAGATGAAACGGTGAAACAGTTGAAATAAAAGATAAACTAAAACAAGAAAAGTAAACAAAATTGTAATAAAAGAAGAGAAGAAAGGGCTTCTTTGTCATTCTAATATTCAAAAGTCCCTTAATAGCACAAAGTGCCTTTGAGTGTAAAAAATAACTCAAAAGTACCTTTAAATGTAAATGACTCTTTTTCGTAATAGATATGCATATGGTTTAACCACTCAAGTATTTAACCCACTCAAGAGGGAAGCGCGTGGATTCCACCTTCTGAGTGTGATTTTGAGTAACAATCACCCACAAATTTCAAAATCAACCCAAAATCTCTTATGTGTTTGCGGATCTTGTTTACTGTCTGAAAATGAAACATGGAAGGAAAATTAAAAAAGAGACTTTTAACACTTTAAAAATTAACAAGTCATAAAAACTTCATTGGTAAAATATTACCTGTAAAAACTTTAAAATTGTTAAAAACGTTGACAACTTTATAGTTGGGGAAAAATTGGGATATATTTGAAATTTGATAGCCAAACAAAAAAAAGTTTTTCAATAATTTTTACTCCATCTGTTTAGCTTAAATGTTGTTTTATCCTTAATTTTTTTTTCAAAATAAGTGTAGTTTTACTTTTACATTTTCAAATACATAATTCAAATCACCTTTTCAGTTTTTACATTATTTATTTAGTGTATTTAAATAATAATGTATATTGATTATGGATATTTCAAAAAAAATAGTATGTTTTATTACTTTGTGTGCAACAACTTTAAAAGAAACTTGTACTAAAATACAAAGAATATTATAAAGTTTGTTATTGAAAAGATTCAATTATATTATTATTTTTCATAAATGTTGATAATGTACTCATTGTATATGTATGTTTGAAAATAACAACTCTGATGTAAGTAGTAGAGTAAAATATGACGGTGAAAAAAGAATGAAAATTCATCCATTTTTCACCTAATGTGTTTACTTTTTCTTCAAAACCGAATGTTAAATTTTAATTACCCAAAAAAAAGGTCACATGAAGTCGGTTAGAGCCATATGTATAAAAATTAAAATTAAAAATAAAAAAGACTCTCGGTCTTGGATGAAGAAAAGAAAGTAAAGCAAGTCATGTGTCAAAGCTTGCCTGTGGGACCCTCAAAACACGAACTCCATGAACAACGCCGCCGTCTCCTTCCGCTGACGTCATGCTAACCGTCGCATCCTTCCTCCCTACGCGGTGGAGTCGCTTCCTCTTCTTTCTCCTCTGTTCGCCTATCCTCTTACCTCTTCTCTGCCTCTC